CAACAACAACAACAACAACGACAACGACATCAACAAATAATTCGACAAATAAGTTGACAAATAATAATAATAATAATAATAATACGAACATTGAAGGTAGTTACGGGAAGCATAATCAAACATTGAATGCTAATCATGGCTTGTCATTAAATGAAAAACAATAATTCATACATTATATAAATTTATAAATTTAAATTTCAAAAATTTTATTGCACTCAATTTTTCAAAAACCAAAAAAAAAAAAAAAAGCTAGTCTTAATTTTTCTTTTGTATTTAGACCGTGTAAAAAATGCTTATGTGTCTACAACAACAACAACAAAAAAAAAGTTTAAAAAAATCAATACGCTTTCATTATAATCAAATTCTTTAGATTAATGAATTTTGGCAGGTTATATTTAGTTGATGGTTTCCTCTGACTTATTTGTATGTTTGTCCAAATCTATAAATTTATTATTTATAATATTAAAATTTAAAAATAGAGCCTTTTCTAATTAAAATTTATCAAATAAAGTATTATAAATATATTAAAGAAAGATATTTGTATTTACTGTGATCTATTATTATTTACAGTATATATTATTCAACTTAAATATATGCTAATGAAGGGTAAAAAGAAATAAAAATAGAACCAGATCACAATTACATTCTAATATCTTAACCTAAACCCGTGGTATCAATCTGATTAAATATTATAAAATTTTTGAAATTATGTCACATTTGTTGATTAGCCATCCCGAGATTTGTAAGGCTTGATCCTTAATCATTAAATTATTAAATTTTATTGAACTAAAAATTTTGTCATTTTTGATCATTCAATATTTATAGCTAATTAAATCTTTGATTCCCATGAAAATATAATAATAAAAAAATCCTATAATTTTTTAATACAGTGAACCCTCTATAAATGCACCCCCCGGGGAATCAGAGTTAGGATGCATTTATAGAGGGATGCATTTATAGAGGGTACATTTACAGAAGGTCACTGTGAAACAATTTTTTTTTATATGATAAATTATATATATAAAGTTTTATAAAATTCTCAATTTCGATTAATTATATTTATATTTTGTATTACTTTTAATCAAATCTAATCAGTTTCTTTTATTAATTTAAACTACCTTAAATAGTCAAATAAGATCAGATTATTCTCAAACATTTTTAGACGCGTAATATTATTGGATCAGCATTAATGGTTTAGATAAGATTGATTTATAAAATCTTTTTTATTTTTATCTATTTTGTACATATTGTATAATCATTCTTTGTTCATTCTTTAATCTCTTAAAACCCTTCCAAAAAGTAAGTATTTATTATACGTGATATTTAATTTAATGGTTTTTACTACAATGCTATTAATGATATTTTATTTATTCAATTATCGTATCAATACTTAGTTTTTACGTTTTCTCTTTAATTAATTGGATCCTTTTTTTTTTACGATTTCTTTACAATTCAACCATGTCAACAAATTCCATCAAGATATTTGCAGGAAATTCTCACCTTGAACTCGCGCAACTTGTAGCGAGGTATAAATAGTAAAAGAATACCTTATTTGATTTGGCTGAATCTCATAAACAATTTTGTTTCATTCAACAGTCCCTTTATATTTAAATTTACAGTAAGATAGGTGTTGATCTTTCCAAAGTAGTGGTCTTAAAGTATTCAAATCAAGAAACATCAGTTACTATCGGTGAATCCGTTCGAGATGAAGATGTATTTATTATTCAATCAGGATGTGGAGAAATAAATGATAATTTAATGGAACTCTTGATTATGATTAATGCTTGTAAAACGGCATCAGCGAGAAGAATTACAGCAGTAATTCCTTGCTTCCCTTATGCAAGACAAGATAAAAAAGATAAATCAAGAGCACCAATTACTGCTAAATTGGTAGCAAATATGTTGACGGTTTCTGGTGCTAATCACGTTATCACAATGGATTTACATGCAAGTCAAATTCAAGGATTTTTTAATGTACCAGTGGATAATCTGTATTGCGAACCTTCAATGTTAAAATATATTAAGACAGAAATTCCAGATTGGAAGAATGCTATGATTGTCTCTCCAGATGCTGGTGGTGCAAAAAGGTAAAACAATTTATTTGCTTTAAATAATTATTAAAATAATAATTAAAATAATAATTAAAATAATTAAAATATATATATATATATAATTTAAAAAAAAAAAAATAATTAAAAATAATTTTGTTTATCAATTTAGAGCAACATCAATTGCGGATCGACTTAATCTTGATTTTGCTTTGATTCATAAAGAACGTAAAAAAGCCAATGAAGTTTCACGTATGGTATTGGTTGGAGATGTTAATGGAAAAGTAGCCATTCTCGTTGATGATATGGCAGATACTTGTGGAACTTTAATAACGGCAGCTAAAACACTTAAAGATAAAGGAGCAATTAAAGTATACGCTATCGTGGCTCATGGAATCCTTTCTGGAAAAGCTATTGATGTTATTAATGAACCTTATCTAGAAAGATTAGTAGTGACAAATACTATACCTCACGAAGATAAAAAAAGAGTTTGTCCTAAAATTGATACAATTGATGTTTCACCAACTTTGGCTGAAGGTTAGTTTTTATGAAATTATGAAAAATAATAATTGTGATTTGCACAAAGTTAAATTTTTGTTTTTTTTTTTTAATAAATTTAGCTATCAGACGTACTCATAATGGTGAATCAGTATCGTTTCTATTTTCCCACGCTCCAGAATAACGGGACACGTTTTATTATTATTATTTTTTTTTTTAAAAAAAAAAAGTAAAAGTAAATATTAATAAACAAACAAAAAAAGACCAAATTAATTGTTAAAAAAAAATTAAATTGCATTTTTCCCTTATTAGAATCAATTATATATATATAAAATATTTACATAATTTTTCAATAACACAAAAGCTCAATTATTATTAATTCCGGATTTATCACAAAAAAAAAAAAATTTGTATTATACTCAAATAATAATAATAATAATAATATAATAATAAATTTAAATATATAAATATATATAATATATGAATAATAACATAGATTTAATATAAATTTTTAATTACTTCATTTCGTTCATTTCGCTAATTTCGGTTACCTCATTTACATTAATAGAAAATTCCTCACCAAAAAATTGATCCATTAGGCGACATGCTGTACTACGTAATGTTTGATCTTCCAAAAATGTCACTGATTCTAATGCATCAATTCCTTGCATCTGTTCAATAAATTTATTACCCTATAAATTAAATTATAATAAATTTAATTTAATTTATATGTATATTATGTACTTGTAAATAATATAAACATTAATATTAATTACATCTGGAACTTGGGTCAATAACATTTCCAAGTATCCCAACCCTAAACGAATTAATTCTACATCTTGAGAACGAATAAATTCTAAAAAACCTATATATTATATTATATTATATATGATAGTAATATATATAAATGACAAAATAATAATTATTATTTATTTATTTATTTAAATTTTTTTTTTTACCTGATAAAAGTTCTTGATGAGGCAAGGATTTCATATATTCTTCACCATGCGAAGCGATATTGAGTAAACTATAAGCGGCCTACGCAATACAGATAAAGAATATAAAAAATAGTAAATAAATAAAAATTAACGTGAATCGTGTATTTTACATATTTAATTAAAACATTATATACATTATAAATATAAATATTTTCAATCAAAACATTAATTAACCTCTTTACGAATATCAAAGTTATTATGTGTTGCAATAACTGAAAGAATGGGAATAAATCCAGTATTTATTACTTTAGTTAAGACTTCCGGATGTCGACTATATAAATTTTAAACGATAAGTTGCATTATTTGTTATATATATATTTTCTGTTAGAAATATGATATAAAATATAATATAAATATAAATATAAAATATGATCAGGCATTAATGTTAAAAGGTATCACAATTACGCTGCTGTTATGTTAGACATAACCCACAAACTTTCTTTTTTCACGGGCCTAAAAAAAAAAAAAAAAATATTGTTTGATTTTTTTTTTTTTTTTTTTTTTTTTTTTTTTTGCATAAATATAATAGCTTAATATGAAATTATGAAATTACCTGCAATCACTTTGAATGTATTCAATCATGTTAGATAAAAAATCAGGTTGATTAATCAAGATGATTGTATTATTATCTGGACTACTGGCAATATTACCAAAAGTACGTATCAATGGTAATGCAAGTGGTCCATAGCTTAATAAAGGACGCATATGTTTAACCTATAATAATAATTTAAATAATAATAATAATAATAAATGAATTTTATTAATATCTAATTTCATTTTATAACAATTATAAAATAATTTATAAAATCATACCAAAACTGGCGCCAATCCTTCTTCTACCAATTTTTGAATGTATTTGTCTTCATCGCTTGTCAAATAAGTTAATACCCATGAAATTTCAGAAACAACTTCGCTCATCTGATAAATTGTTTTTAAATAATTCAATTCAGAAAATGAGTTCATTCATTTCTCCCGATTTTACAAGAAAAAAAATATTGAACATACTTCGTCCTTTTCAAGATGACGAAAGAGATGTTGAGTAATTCCCATAGAGAAAAATTCTTCCAATTTAGCATTCGGACCACGAGCAAGATTTGAGAGAGCGAAACATACTGTTTGCACTAAGTTTACATCCTATTTTATCAATTAAATTATAAACTTGTATTTATATAACAAAAAAAAATATTATTGATATTGAAGTACACTTACCTGGGAGTTGAGTAATTTAATCAAGGGAACTAATACTCCATTTGCGCGAAGCAAATTTCTATATTCTGCGCCTTCCACTGCAATATTACCTATCGCCCAAGCAGCCTGATCTTGTAAAGGCTGTTATATGAAGAAGTCATATGAAGTAATATCCAAATTATCAACAAAATCAACATGATCAACATAATCAACATAATCAACGTAATCAACATAATCGTCTGTTGCTTAATGTCAAACAAAAGAATGACTTAAATGACTTACAATATTTTCTCCATCAAGAAAAGATATTAAATATGGAACTATCACCAAGGCCTTATGACAAAGTTCCTTCGGTCCCGCCGCAATATCTTTGAACAAAAATTTACTGTATAATAATTTATAATATAAAGAATGTATAAGAATGTATAACAATTATGATAATAAACATACTCGTTATGCACCAAGTCGCTTGTAATTGCTCTTCCGGATCTATACCGGATAAGAATTTCTGTAATTATTTGATATACAAATATCAGAGTGATATCAGAGTGACCGGTAGTTTCATAGGGGAAAGTAAGAAAGAGATAAGGGCCACTCGTGTTTGTATGTACACGAACGCATACGATTACATACGGTAAGAATCTCAATACAATTTCCCTCAATTACAAAACGTTTCAAAGTTTCCGAAGGATCTACAAGATATGCACTCAAGTCTTTGAGGCTAGAAAGACGCTTTTTACGACTTGGATTCTATCAAAAATATCAAGTAGCGCAAAATTATTTTATTTTTTTAAAAAAATTAAATTATCAGAATTTTTGGAATTTTACTAACATTTAAACCGGATTTCAGTTTTTCGATATCTTCTTTTAATAAATCATTGTCGGAATCTAAAAAAAAAAAAATAATAATAATAAATGGATTATTTGAAAATAATTTATTTAATGATATCAAATATTAAATACCTGTAGTTTCATCGTCTTTGAAAACATCTAAATGATGTTTAAATCTTTTCGCAGTTATAAGTTGTTCACGATGTTTCCTTCGAACTTGCGCGTCAAGTTCAATACGTTTCCGCCTAGCTTCTTCCGGATTTTTTGGAATACTATTACTTTTATACTTTGCTTTATGGTTAACAGAAGGAGGAAGAGGAAGAGAGGTTGATTGCGCTGATTGACTCGAAGATTGAAACGTGAATATGTCTTCTGTACTAATTGTATTATCATTATTATTATTATTATTATTTGAGAAATCCATGATTTTCAAATTATTAAGTCTGATGATTAATAATCTTTGCTTTAATTATTATATATAAACTAGCACTTTCGCCAAGATAAATCGTGAATAAATGCGACTGTATTATTGCACATGTGCTTTTTACATAGTTAATTGTGATTATTACAGTAATCACAAGGCGAAATTTGACCTCCGAGATCAAAAAATAAATAAAAATTGATTCCGAACGTTTCGAATATTTTTTCACATTTGAGTTTGTTGTCGAATTTAAAGGAAAAGTAAGCTTGTCAAATACAGTACTTTCAGTACCTTCACTCCAAACCTAGCTTTCACTTCACTTTATGTAGAGTCCAATTTTTTATTATTATAAATAAGGGATTACCACTTTAGAAGCTAGTTAGATACATTGAATTACACTTTTTTTTATTAATACAAAATCTAGCTCAGAACAAGATTACTCCAGAGTGCAAGAAAAATTTGAAGAGACATATAATGTCTCAATTGAAATATTGTGAGTTGGGCTTTGAAAAAATGCTTGATCAATTGGATACAAGAAATTATGATAATATTCATGCTGATATATATGACAAAGTATGGAATTCATTTTCTTTTAGCATTTCATCATTACAGACCTATATTCAAATATGAAAAAAAAAACCTTATTATTATTACAACTATAAAATCCATTTTGAATTTTTATACATTTTAAGAATCTCTTATAATTCAACTATTAGAAATAAGCAAACAGTTTATTTAATTCTTATTAACTTTTTTAGGACCTAGTTATATATTGTTCAAATTATTTTTGACAATAACAATTTTGAATTTAAATAATTTGATAATATATATAGGTTTTAGTAGATTAGCATAGGGAAAGTCTAGATTTTGATCTACACGTTACACAATTATTTATACACGTTTTACAATCAAGATCAATTAAATAATAATTGCTCATACAAAATGACTAAATAATGGTGAAACTTTGCAAATATATTCTTTGAAGCTTGTTCATTATGTTCGCTATTACCATGGGTTTCCTCCACTTTCATAAATCCTTATTATTTTATTTTATTCTTATTTGTATTTATTTTATTATGGTTATTTTAGTATATTTAGTATATTTAGTTATTAATATTTATTTATTTAGTAGTGTAATATGAATTATGTAAATCAATAATATAGATCATAGTGGTCCAGTTACTGGCCAATTTACTAACCAATTTAGTGACCCACTGATTGACCAACTTAGTGACCAACTAATTGGCACAATTACTGATCAAGATTTTGACCAACTTACTAACCAACTTACTGGCCAAATTCAATATTATAAAAAGGGTGAGTTTTCTCTTCACCTCAAGACAGATTCAGATTCAAATAGTTTCGAATAAAAATTCAAATAATTCTAAATAGTGAAATTTAGAAAATAATCTCAACTGTAATATTTTTGTAATCCTAAAGTAATTGAATTATTGATTTTTTTCGTAATAAACATATACTTTTATCTTAAAACTCTGTTCTTCTTATTAATTTATATTCTTCGAATATAAATTCTGATCCATAAATTTCTGTTATTATTTTATAAACCA